GGCTCCCCTTCTGTGGCTTGGACCACGGAGCCCCACTGTCTCCCGTTGTGTGGCTTGGCCCACGGACCCCCACTGTCTCCCATTGCGTGGCTTGGACCACGGACCCCCACTGTCTCCCCTTCCGTGGCTTGGACTTCGTGCCCCCTATAAAGCTGGAGCGTCGCGCTGACGCCCTGTGTGCCGCAGGCTGCGCTGTCACCGCGACGACCCCTGCCTGGACGACCCCATCCCCCAGGAGTACGCGCTGTTCCTGTGCCCCACCGGGCCGCTGCTGGAGAAGCTGCAGGAGTTCTGGAGAGAGAGCCAGCGGCAGTGCACCAGGAACAGGGCGCACGAGGTCTTCCCGCACATCACGCTCTGCGACTTCTTCACGGTGAGCGCGCCCAGCCTGCTGCCGTGGGCACCGCCGAGACGCGCTGCGGCGAGAGCAGTGGCCGGGCGGTGTTCTGGGGGTGGCCTGCGCCCTCCCTGGCCGTGGGGCCTCTTTGTGTGACGCGATCTTCACTTTCCTCCTGTCTGGTCAACTCCTATTCAGCCCTCAAAACCCAGCTCGTTTATCCCCTCCCTCTCCTAAGTCTCCCCGAGCTCCCCGGGGCGAAGGGACGCTTGCGCCCAAAGCCCATCTGTTTGCACCCCGAGTGGGCCTAGTGCCTCCCCCTGACTGCACCACCCCGGGAAGGGGTGCTCAGCTGTGTCTGCCCTGGCACCCAGCAGAGAACCTGACACAGCTGCAGGAGCGTGTGCTGCGTCCGACCAGCACCCTGCCCGGGACCGGCCCTCGCCCTCAGCAAGTGAGCCACTGCAGGCTCTGGGGTCCCGGGAAGGCAGAGAGGACCTGGGTGTGCCTCGGGGGGCTGCGGGGGGAGCCGGCGAGGGCGCACCTGGCCCCTCCCTGTCGGCAAATGCTCAGGGTCCGCCACGGCCATGACCCTCGCCCAGGCTGCCGGGAGAGGCGGTACAGACCTCCCGGAAGGTTCCAGAAGGGGCCTCGGGGGAAGCAGTGCCGGCCTGACCCGCAGCGGTCACCCCACCTGCAGGGCTGGGGTGGAGTCCCAGACACAGGACTTTTGTGCTAAACCAGAAAGGTGAGCTGCTGCCCTACTTTGCAGCGACGGCCAGTCCCGGCCCCACCGGGGCACGGGGTGGGGATGGCGCCGCCACCCTGAGCCAGGGCCCGGGGCGGGCGGGGGCGTCTCTCCTCGCATGTGAGCACCCAGACACGCGCTGCGCACACGCAGTGGCCCACACTCCCGTCACGCGGCACACAGGCAGGGCGACACACCTCCGCCCGCGGCCCCAGTGACCACACGGCCCAGGCCCCCAGGCGGGGACAGGTTTCCTGCCGGGCTCCCGGCAGCCAGCGGGTCCAGCGTGGCCGGCCGAGGCTAGGGAGGGGCTGGCCCAGCCCAGCGCAGTGTGAGCGAGCGGTGGGAGGCCGGCGGTGGCCGCCGGGCCTAGTTAGGCAGGGCAGAGGGCCACGAATTGGGCGCTGGAGGTTGCTCCAGCCCCTCCTGGGCAGGGTCGGCAGCCCCTGTGGGGCCTGGCAGGGAGGGCCGGGACGGAGAAGGGGCGCGGGCGTGGGGGCGCTGCCGGCCGGGTGGCAGCAGCTCCGGGCCGGCGGGGTCGGGGCCGTCTCCAGGAGCCCCCCGACAGCTCAGCGTGGACACAGCCGCGGGCCCGGGGGCGAGGCGGGCGGGTGGGCACAGCAGGAAGGGACGGGCTGGGCGGGACAGGGCTTCCAGCAGGCACCAGAAGGGCAGGAGGCCCCAGGCCCGCACCGAGCGGTGACGGCGCTCTGCCCGCAGTGCGAAGACCAGAAGGTGGAGCGCCTGTACGAGGCGCTGCGGAGGGCGGGTGACCGCGCCCTGCCGGCCTTCCCGCCGCTGCTGCCGCTGGCGCTGCACTCCTCCGCCAGCTTCCTGGGCTTCTTCGTGGGCGACGGCCCCGCGGACGTCATCCGGGAGTTCGCCGCCACGTTCGCCACCGAGGCCTCCGTCCTGGCAGGTGGGCAGCCGCTGTCGCGCCTGGGGCGGGGCTGGCCGCGGGCTGCAGATGTCCAGCCGGGGCCCGGGGCACGCGCCCCCCGGGCTCGTCCGCCTCCTGCTCGCTGCCCTAGCGTGGCCCTGAGCGGGCAGCGTCCGGGGCTGGCCCCGGTGGGCCTGGGGGCCTGCAGGGGCCAGTGCACAGACTCAGGCTCCCCGGGCCTCAGAGTGACTGTGCCCATCGTTCAGCCACCTGGAGGCCGCCCACGGGCACAGGTGGCCTGAGCCAGCAGGCCAGCACAGGCGGCCGGCCTGGCCCCCCGGGCCGGTGTCCACCAAGGTCTCGCCCATCAGCCCGCGTCACAAGCTGTGGGCTGACTCTGAGGTACGAGCGTGGCCTGTCCTCAGCCTGTCTGCAGGCCCCGCCGGCGAGGGTGGCCTCGGGCCGGCCGGGGGGCTCCAGGCTCCTCCAGAGGCTGCGCCCTCCTGTGTCCAGCGGGTGCCGTGCGGGTCCCCTGGGGGCTCATCTTCCTTCTGTGTGAGGTGCCCTGAGATCTGTGATTTGCAGGGCCGGGGCTGGGCAAGGTATGTGGGCCGAGATGGTGACGTCTGGGTGGGACCCGCCTGCCCCACGGGCACACGCCCTCAGAGGCACTGCGCCCTGCTCCCCACGCCCCCAGAAGGGGCCCAGCCACTTTAAAAGTGGACAGAACAAGGCCATCAAGGGACGGGTGCTGGTCCAAGGTCAGGGCTCGGGGCCCCGACGCCCGTGTCCACCCTCAGCCTCAGTGAAGGGCCTAGGTGTGGTGCCCGCCAGTCAGACGAGGTCACGCCCCCGTGGGGTCCACTCTGATGCAATGGCTGCAACCCTGCGGGAGGACATGGACACACGGGGCCGAGTGAGGGCAGCGGCCAGCTGCAGGGACGAGGCTGGGGCCAGGAGCTGGGGCCAGGAGCTGCCCCGGGCCTCAGGAGGGAGGGGGCCTGGATTCCAGGCCCTGGCCCCAGCTGAGAGGGAAGACGCCCCTGTTCAGGCCAGCCCGTGACGGCCCGGCTTGGCGGCCACCTGCACACCGGGCCGCACTGTGGGACGGGGCAGGAACGCGCGGCCAGCCCTGTCCAGACCACCCTGGCGTCAGTGAGCGGCCTGGCCGCAGCGCTGGTGGGCCTGCAGGCTCCCAAACCCTGGGTCCCCTTTGGTGCAAGGGTGCCCTGGCCAGCGAAGGTGCTCTGGCTTGGGGCTCTGGCAATGGGCTCCAGCCCGGGTGCTCCGGCCAGGGTGCTCCGGCCAGGGTGCTCCGGCATGAGGCCGTGGAAGAGAAAGGCCCGGGCCCCGTGGTCAGGCGTCCATGCTGACTCACAGGCGGGGCGCCCTCCCCTCCACTGAAACCAGGAAGAGGAGGAGTTCCCCAGCGCCCACACGCCTGGCTCTGGACTTCTCCCCTGCAGGCGAGGGCAGTTGTGGGGCTGCCTGGGGGGGGGGCAGGCAGGGGGCAGAAGGGCCACTGGGGGTGTGGCCTGCACTTCTCCTGGCGCTCGGCCCGCGCGGCCCTGAGAGGGGGTCCAGAGGCCCTGAGAGGGGCCAGCCTGGCGGCGTCCCGGGGCCCTGAGAGGGGGGCGGCCCTGGCGCCTCCTGCCGGTCCTGCTGGGGTCCAGACTCCGCCTCCGGCAGCCCCGCCATGGCCAGGTCCATCCGGTGGGAGTCAGCTCTGCCGGGTGCCTGCCGCGAACCCGTCTGGGCGACTCCTGGAAGCAGCGCCCACACAGAGGGCTGCGGCCTGTGGCCTGAGGGCCTGGCCTTAAGGCCGAGGGGCAGCCTCTTTCCCTGAAAGACAAGGGGTGCCCGAGGGCTGCTGGTGTGCAGGACAGGAGGGGGGCGTGGGGGGCCTGCTCCCCGGACTCAGAGCGGCGGAGCAGAGCCGTGAGTGCAGGCCCCATAACCAGCAGGCGGGGTCGGGCGGGTGCCCAGCGGTCCTCAGCTGTGTGTCCAACTATCT